ATAAATTCAACAATTGCAGAATACTCCGTTGATGGTATATCTTTCTGACCATGACATGTTGTACCTGCAAGTGAAACTTCACACTTGCCTATGTTTGACAAGGAAGGGGTATGCGTGGAGACGAGGGTGATGGTCTAACATTAAAAGTTAGTATATCAGTCTATATAAATAAATTCAACAATTTACAAAGAAACAAAAAAAAACAATCACCCAATTTTGCAGGGAAAAAAAACAAAGAAACAAAGGAAATAAATCAAATGAAAAATGTAAACAACAATTAAAGATATAAATTCACACGTTGACAAAAATGGACATGAAACGTCGTGCAACACTCGTAACTGAAATCGTACACGGAAAATGTAATGGACATGAAAAGTCGTAAGTTCCAGTCACTGAAGTCACATATGAAAAATGTAGCATAATACAATGTACCCTACCAATGGCACATACTAACTAATAGAAAAACAATACTCTACAAGTCGCGTCGACGGTGCCGAAATACTTTACTCTGACTAACGTTGTTGTACAGACGCCCTACTCATACCAGAATCAGACACACAAAAAACGAAGAAAACAATTGCAGTTGTTGTACAGACACCCTACTCATACCAGAATCAGACACACACAAAACGAAGAAGACAATTGAAATTGCAGCACACACACTACCAGTGACTACTTGACAATACTGAGATAAGACAACACGACCAAAAAAATTGGAGCACAGAATACGACGAAGTCGAGTGCAAGTAGGGGAAAGTGGAGTGCTAGCCTCACGGTCATCGACTTCTCTTACCCTTCCCGCTCCGCCTCCTCGTACCCCCTCGAGTGTCGAATGTCGACCTTCCCTTCCCTCGTGCGGATGAAGACGGCTGCGCAGCGAAGCGTCTCGAAGCACGCGTCGGTGGGGGTCGTCGTCGTTGTTGCCTCTCTCACTCTCCTCTGCCTCACTCTCCTCCTCACCCTCATACTCCTCGTCCTCCTCCCGCACTGCCGGTGACATCTCAAGATCACCTTCCTCGATGGTGACAGGGCTGCCTCCCTTCCTCAACCGAACAACCCTCGTACTAGCAAGTGCAACCATCTCCTGACGGCAGGATCCACGAGGCATCCCCAACCCCTCCGCCCCTGAAGACTCTCCAAGTGCAACTCCTCCCTCTGCAGGCACGGGCCGTGGACGAGGCACTCCACGCTTGTGTTGAGTCTGCTCATGCACAACACGTGTCGCTCCTCTCAAAGCGTGGTCCAAGGTTGAGGTGGACACTCCTCCACCGCGACCTTGCTGAGGCTCACAACCTGCTGCTGCAACCTCCCTTGCTGCGGTCGTCCTGGCGCCGCGGTTACCCAAACCCATCTGAAGGCGTGGAGCGAGCTCAGTGACCCGGCGGGTGGAATCCGAATCTATGTCCGTCCTCCCGAATAACGTCGTGTCGCACACATCCCGCCTAACCGCTGTGGTGTCACAAATCCTCGATCTCCCGGGCGTGTGTGGGGATGGAGAGCCTCGACTTGTGGGCGACAACAATGGATCACCCTCACGTGGTCTAGGAGGAGGGGGTGGCATGTCTCCCGTACCTGGCGCTCTCTCCTACAGGCCCCTCGAAACCCCTGGATCATTTGCCCTACTACGTCCTCCGCTGGAGGTAGACCCGACCACATCGGCGACGCAGGGCGCCATGGAACCGAAGGGATCGTCTGCCAATGGGGATGGTTGAGTTTCGGGTTAAATATCCGCCGGTCCAGTCGAGTCACATTGTGCACAGCGGCCACTGCGAACTCCTCTGCATCCAATGGATGACCGACCTCCTGTGGAGCCGGTCGCCGAGGATGTGGAGGCACAACCATCGGCTTGGACCCCAAATCCTCGATAATAACAGGTGGCACATCATGCACTGCCACCTCAGCCGACTGTTACCGTCGGGCCTTGACCAAGTGCAGGCCCGAGAACGGGACAACTGGACCCGTCTCTGTCTCATAAACCATGGGCGGTGCGTCGCCACCCCCCCTGTGTGGCCCTTGTCCACCCTCCATAGCCTCATCCACTGCTTGTGGCGCACCCTCCATAGCCTCCTCCGGCTTTGGTGCCACGCCCTCCATAGCATCCTCCCTTGCCACTACCCCACCCTGCTCACCATCTCTCCCTGTCTCTCAACGCCTGCGCTCCTCCAACGCCCGTGCACGCGGGTCATTAGATGCCATAAGTCGACCCCTCTCTCGCTGCATGATGTCGTGTGCCATATTTGGAGACTGCGTGGCTGTCCTCCCTCTCGGGGTCTGCGTCCTCATCTCGCCTGCCACTTCGTCCCTCAACGGTGCCCGATCCGTTGATGCCGCCCCGCGGCAACTAGGGGGACCGCCCATCAACATGCCAAAGTCGAAGTGGGTCCCCATCTCTAAATCGGGCCACCCTGTGGGAGGAGACATCCCCAAACCCCTCGCCACACCGAAACCCCCCACGAGCGGATCGAGCTCCTCCGTGACAAACTCCTGCATGAGGCGGTCCTTGGCGTCCTCACCGCCCTCAGTGGCATCCACACCATCATGCTCCATGGCAACATCCGGCACCTCCGCCGCTGCTGCTACCTCCTCCTCCGCCGCTGCTGCTGCTGCTGCTACCTCCCCCTCCACTGCTGCTGCTGCTGATGGTTCCTTCTCCTCCTCCGCTGGTGATGGTTCCTCCTTCGCTGCTGCTGCTGCTACCTCCCCCTCCACTGCTGCCGCTGCTGCGACCTCCTCCTCCGCTTGAGCAGGCCCTCCCCTATCCGGAGGGGTGGCACGGTGGCTACCCTCCTCTTGCAAGACCCCTGGGGAAGGTGATCGTAATCTCAGTTGGCGAACCACCGCAGATCTCTGCAGAAGTCCGTGTTGAGGCAAGGAGGATGCCAACTCCTCCGTCTCCACCGCTGCCGTGGCCGACTGAAGAGGTGAGACTGGCGATGGAGGTGCAAACTCGAAGTAGGAGGTGGTGGCATTGAGACTCTCGCCCCGTCGGAGTAGGAGTCGTCATCCGCGCCTCTGTGCGGGTAGTGCCTGCATGAGATCCCCCGACTCTGTCATCACGCACATCACCCATGGAAGCCACATCCCCGAAAGGGCCCCAACAATCCTCGTCTCCCCCCATCATCTCCCGCTCCGCCCGGTCCGCCATCCGTCGTGCGGTGTATGTCCTCGTCTCCACGTCGTCGGCATCGTCGTGCGTTTCGTCCATCTCGCGGGGAATGGGGAGCATAGGGTAATCTGCTGCCTTGGGTGCTCGCTCCTCATCCGAGTCATCGTCCCTGGGGTAGGGACGAAAAATGCAAGCACGTCTCTCAAAAACGGCATCAGCAGAGGGCGGTGTGGAAGCCGCGATGGGATCGCGCGCAATGAGTGCAACCTATGGGCAATCTCCTCCTGCGCCATCCCCTTGTGCGTGCCCGTGCGCACCGGCTCCACCTCGAGTCCTGCGTGGCAGTCGAGCATGCCCTTGTCCCGCTGCCATGGCAACACATAACTACATCCTGCCCGCCGATACTTTGTCAACCGCACATTTGCGGTGATCTCAACGAGTTGTACGACCTTCTCGAGGGTCAACCTGTTGCGCTTCTTCGTGTGGATGCCCTCATGGACTGCCTAGTTCCTCTCCGTTGGAGAGGTGCAAGACCACATGTGCATCACACGAAGAGCGCACCGATGCAACTCAGGCGCACCAGCCCCGAACTCGGACCACCAAGGTGCGCACTCGATCGTCTCGGTGTCACCGCTACACGTGCGCCCACGAGCACGACCCTCTGCCCCTCCCCAATCACCAAACCTTCATTGCTGCATGTGGAAGTCCTCAAACTGCCAACGAGCAATAATGTAATCCACACCGTCCAACTCGAAACCCGTTTGCGTCAGAATGTACCTCTTGGCTTGCCTCACAAGCCAAGCACGGTACTCCGCCACCTCGCTTGAAAAGTAGTGAACATGTCGCCTGCGGGGGTTGAGTAAGAACCCAGCGCAGTGAGCCGGCTCAAGCATGTGCTGTGTGTGCGCCTGCACACACCTGATGATCTGGTCTGCGAAGGACTGTCCCAAAGGAGCGCATGCATCCTTCACACGGTGGACAAGATCCTGTGCCCACTCGACCACGAGCGACATGAACTACCCTCCACGATCCATCCGCCTAAGCAACTGCATGACGGGCTCCATGATATGGACGATGGTGGCCACCCTCTGCCACCAGGGATCTCATCTGATTTGTCGGCGCACCCAACACGCCATGTAGCACATATCGGCCGACCACGAGATGGAAGCAAAAACCCGCGAGTTGTCCCCTCGCATCATGCCCTGCAAAGTGTCCTGCAGAGCCAGCAGCCTCTCCAACATGGAGTAAACAGACGCAAAACGTGTCTCACAGGAAAGAACAAGCCCCATGTTAGGGTTGCGCTTCCTGAAAAAATGAAGGGCGGCCTGGTGGGTTTTGAAAAACACCACCAGCACACGAGCGCGTGTGATAGTGTCCACAAACGCGTCGCAACTCGTCCCCATGTCTGACAACAATTTGTTGCAGACATGGACGGAGCATGGGAGCAAGTGATCCTCCTCAGTGCAAGAGGCATGGTCGCGGAGGTCATTGCCCTTGCAGCCCCTCACGTACGCTGAAGCGGAGTCAGTGCATATCGCATTGACACACTGCGGCCCATCGAACCTGAACTCGTGGAAGATGGTGACCCATCTCCGAAGGACGTGATCTACATCATCCGGCTCCCCCTCTCGATTGATCGTCATGTACATGATGACCCCTCGCGAGCCTGCGGCAAGGAAATTAACGATCGATCTCTCGTCTTGTGATTTTCTCCCGTTTGAGAGGATGGTGGCACCGATCACCCAGAATGGCTGCCTCACCTCCTCTAATTCCTCTGCCAACTCCGCGCGGTGGGTCTCCACCGCCTGCATGCTTGCAATTTCGCTGTGTCGGGGGAGCACAGCACGCGGCGAACTGCCAGGATGCTGAAGAAGCACCTGGACATATGCCTCGCATGCCTCGTTGCGAAAGGCATTGAAGGAGACCTCACTGGAATAAAGCCAACGAAGGAAGGCCTTCTTGTGGCGAGAAACCCACTCGCCACCGTAACCCTCAGAAACCTGCTGGCGAAGCCTCTTTCCAGCTTGGGTGGCAGCTGGATCAGCTCCTCCTTCCTTCCTCTTTGAAGGACCCTCGCCTCTCAGACCCTCCGATGCAAGTTAGTTGTCGCTTGCCCGCTCGCCGCTGCCAGTCCACGATCCTCCCCCCAATGACTGGATCAAACACAGGCATGTCCTCGTGTCTCAAGAATCCCTCCTCCCCCGGGCAACGGGCCTCATGATCGATGTGGGTCGCGTCCTCCTCCATGTCACCGCCTCCACCCCCAAATGGGCGGTCAATCACACCCTGCCCACCATCTCCTCCGCCCCCTCCCTCCACCGAATGCTGCTCAGCCTCTCCTTCCCTTGCACCACCGGCCTGGGGCACATCAAGTCCACGCTCCGCTGGGTACCGACCAACCCTCTCCATCTGATCAGACTCAAACTTTTGTTCGGTCCGTCTCGCGATTTCGTACAATGCCTCGTCGCTGACATCCTTGCAGTAGTTAGTCTGCACGAAGTGCCTCGTGATCTTGTACAGAGTCCCTTGGAAGACTTCGTTGCAAAATGTGCAACACAAGATCATCACCCCCTTGTTGTCGACCTTCTGGCCGACGACAAGGTACCGACACACAGGGGAGCGACCCCTGAACGTTTCCTGCACATGTTCCGGAGCGGGCTTATGTTGGCGCCGCTTTGCCCTCCCCATGGTGACCACCCTCTACCCCGCTCCGAAGCATCGACCCAGAGCCCTCTCGATGAGGCCTTGCAACCCCTCTAACTCGACGAGGCCTCACACCCCCAACCCCCCCCCCCC